GCATATTGTGGAGAATTTAAGGATGATGAATATGCTAAATTAGTGGGAGAATTAGAGGAAGGATTTGAAACATGGGATATCAATTCCAGAACAAGTGGAGTTTGCACAGAATAATTCAAAGACTAATGAATTTCTTATTATGTATTTTAAATTTGTAGACTTGTAGTATTTTTAATATTTGGACTTTGGACAATTTGGAGTTACTGTTTTTTTTCAAATGTACTACTAATTTTTAGTATTTAATATGTAGTATTATAATATGTAATATTTTAATATCAAGTTTTCTGGAGATGGCTAGGAGAAGCCCAGGAGAGGTCTCTCCGATGCTTGAGAAGGCTGGAAGAAGGCCTGGAGAGGGCCCTCATGGGCTTCTCCTAGCCATCTCCAAAAAACCCCAAGTTGCTGGAGAAGGCTTGGAGAGGGCTCTCCAGCGAAGGAGAGGGCGCGGTAGCAAGGGGAAAGGCCTCTCCGAACTGGGTATGGGGCGGGGAATTGGCGGGGATTTAGCGGGTATGGGGCTGAGACAGGGATGGGGTGCGGTGGTTTTGGAGTCGGACTCGCCAGGGCGGGGATGGAGATATTTTTTGGACCTGCCGTGGGGATGGGGATGAAAATGTGAAGCGGGGATAGGGATGGGAATGCCAAAACCCGCCCCACCCCGCCCCGTTGACATCCCTAACGTTGGCTTGCAAGGACTCTAATAAGTCTATTTTATATATACTTTTATTCCCGTGGGGGGGTCATATTTGTGCTTATTTGAGCTCTACGGAGCTATTTTTATTACTAATATGCGTTTTCTAGTGTTTTTGTAGAGTTGGTATTATTTTGTAAGAATTTGCAGATTTATGTCAATTCCCGAGCTTATTGAGCCACTACGAATATATTAGAGCTTGGATCGTATTTTATGACTGTATACTTAAAATCCAAGACCGAGTTAAAGAAATTTAGTTCGGTGATCAAGGGCTCGATACGTGAGAAGGTCCAAGATTTTACAAGTTATTATTACGGACCAATCAAGGAAAGAAATTGGGCCTAAATTCACAAAGCTTGATCAGTGGGATGAGTTTTGAGCTTAGCTATCTTTCAACAGCTTTATAGTTTTAGATTAGTTAATCTTTTCAACAACTTTTGTTTTATTATCTTTAGATAGTTTTAAGTTTTCTATTTTCTACTCTTATCTTCTTAGACATTTAGTTAAGATAGGATTCTTATCTTATTTTTTTTATAAAGGAGGAGGAGGGCCGTAGAGTAGTTTGGCCGTGGTTTTTTTGGCTGTAGGTTTTTGGTTTTCTTTTTAGTTTAATTTAGTTTTAATTTTCTTTTCTATTTTTCTTTTCATATTAAGATTTATTATTTTATTTTCTTATTACTTTAATACTATTATTCTCTTTATTTTTATTATTGTTTTTTATAATGTTCATGTAGATTATTAATCTAGGGTGAGGTTGAACCCTAGACATGATTAATACTTGATTTATTCTTTTAAATTCTCAATTAATTATTTATATTGTTCATGCTTAATTGATTGTGCTTATGCCAATACTAGATTAGGGATAATTGGTATTGTTATTATTCCAATGTCTTGATCGCAACGGGAGTTGGGTTTTGACGGATTTGAATAGATCAATTAAGGATATGAAATTCTCCACGGAAGTAGGTAGAACGGATTATTAGGAAGTTAGGGTGCCGGACTTAATGTCTTTAATTTACATGATTCCACGGAAGTAGGTTTGATTGTTAATTAGGGAAGCCATTGACAACTCGGGAGAGATCTTTGGTATTTTATAGGGCGTACCTTTCCTTGTGAACGTGTAATTAATTGGTTGGGGTAGGAATATGTCTTGTATTGATTATGCTAGTGGTGATACTTAATTCTAGATGTTTTTATTATTGGTGATACTTAATTTTAGATGTTTTTATTATTTTTTATTTATGTTTGATATTTGAGTAGTCATAGTTACTTAATCCATCGTTTTATCTCTTATTTAGTTTTGTCATTGGTAAAAGTTGATTGTTAATCTGTGGGATCGAACCTACTTACCCTACTACATAATTAGGAGGTCTAGTTAGGTATTATTTTTGTTAGGTGTACGACAACCTATCAGACTCAATCTTCTCCTCCATCGAGTCAATTCTCCTTACCACTGAGTCAATTGTGGACATGAGGAGATCCTTCAGTTGGGCCATATCTGCCCTAATATCTCCAGCCACCTGACTGACCAAAGATTGAGTTTCTACCTTCGCCTCTTCTGTCCCGGACTCAAGGTCCTTAACCCTTGCCTCAACGTCGTTGTACTGCTCGTTGAGGTCATTAATGTTGTCTCGTTGATCTGAGATGGCTTGAACTACGCTAGCCACCTTCTCCTCAAGCACGGTAATGTGACTAGCCTTCTTGTTGGGATTTCCTTCCTCCACACCAGAAACAGGAACATCCTCCTTTGTTTGTGCCATTCTCCTGACTCCGCACTTAACTTCTAACAACAGCTAGTTCCCAAGCGCAAAAGATCGCCCTTACGATCGACGTTGCTCTGATACCACTTGTCACGTGCTGACTATTTTCCCTAAGTCCTTTGCACGGGGCCTACTAGAGTCACCACCCGTTAGACTACTAGTCAAGGCTCCCCGAGTCATAGCAAGGCTAAGAGTTGATGTTGTAGGTTAAGTGTGGTTTGTTTGAAAAGCACAAGTGAGAATAAGAGAGAGAGTTTTAGAAAGGATGCTTTTATAAATGCTTGAAAAAGTACAAGTGTTTTTAAACATAACAAGAATGGGTGGGAGGTTTCCTATTTATAGGCTCCTTCCCTTATCTAGAATGTTCTATCCTAGATAATTTTTAACCTCCTCAAATGGAGGGTTCTAGAAAGCCCTTTACAATTCTGAGTACATACAACTTATTTACAATAATCTAGAAGCATCTACAAAGGTCTAGCTTCTAAAGTATGTACAGGTTATCCCTAGAGTGTTCTAGAGACTTCCGGGTGCATCTTGAGCTCTCCCGTACATTCTGGATAGTTGTGGGCCCCATCTTCCAAATCTGATTGCACCATCATTCTTATTGGGCCCAAAAACGGTGGGCCACCAAGTTTGGACTCATTTGGAGTCCATTTGACCCAGCCCATGGCCCATTATTATGTTACTGTCATGGGCGTGTTCACTCATTATACTGGCGGCCTGCTATATAAAGCTCTATACGAGGAAGGTGTTCTAGCCTAGCCAGCCATGCACCAACGGCAATCCCATAGGTCATGATTATCGCTTGCTGCCTTGTGACCCTAGTGAGGGGTGGGGTTGTGTGGGTCGTGACAGTGGGATGCAGAGTATTATACGTGAGTCAGATTGTCAGCTTCTTATTAATCGACTCTCGAGGGGTGCCTTGTTTTCATAGATCTAGATTCATTCCTTGGGGATATTTTACATGCTTGCAATTCTTTTGTGTCGGTTAGTTGGTCTCATGTAAAAAGAGAGGGCAATTATGTTGCTCATCATCTTGCTAGGCTCATTCCTTTTGGTACCGAACAAGTGTGGGATAATCATTGTCTACATGAAGTTTCGCCATATGTCACTATGGATGCTTTATCCTTGGATTAATTTTAATTTAAGAGAGTCGTTTTCCTAAAAAAAAAAATTGTTAATTATAACCTTTGCAATGTAACTTTATGTTAATTATAACCCGTGCAATGTACTTATATACCCCATATGTCCCCTTTTTGTTGGCATGTTTTAACCGACACAATGTTTTATAACATACTTTGACCGGCACAATGTTTTATACAAAATTCAATTGACTTATTTTTTATGACAATTAATAATCAAGGTTTTTTTTATTTTTATTTTATTTTATAGTTATTAAATTGTAGTGTTATTATTATAAATAAATCAACAATATATTATAAAAGCTAAAGTGTCAATCTTGATTAGAGCAAAAAAAACTTTCAAAGAAAAAATACGATGTACAATAATACGGAGTATGGGAGTATATTATTCTAATATATTGCCTTATACAGTATATGTTTGTTTATTATTGAAAAATATCTGTTATAAAATACGGAGTATATGAAAGATATGTTAAAATTATCATTGAATGAATGCATATAGAATATGCTTTGTATAAGGTAATATATTAGAATAATATACTCCCATACTCCGTATTATTGTATATCGTATTTATAGTTCCAAATTGAAAGTTTAATGTTATAGTATATATAAATTAATATCCATGAAGATTGATTGATTGATAGAATATCCAGAGATGACAAGGATTTCTCAATAAAGACCCTGCTCCTAGTCAAAAGATACCTATGTCACCAACCAATCAACTTCCAAGTTCCAACTTCACCTAACTTTCGCAACTAAGGATTACCTAATCCTTTAAAACTGGAACTGCTAGAAGCAATGTTGCTTCATTCCCTTGTTTCCAATTTTCACGATGAAGATTAACTGAAACAATTGCCTGCCCGAAATTTTTCAATCAACACCCATTGCATTGATTTAAATTCACATCTTCTACGCAGTACCAAGTGTTGATATCATCCAGAATAATTCGGTTTCTCCCACCAAACCGTGTACGAGTAGAATTCAACAACTAAGTATTTCTTTAGCTCCATAATAGTTTAATCAAGTATTTGCCTCTAATCTCATTGGTAGACTCTACCGGACTACTGGATTTTGCTATCGCATCTATACTTGAACAAACACATAGCCGAACAAAAGCTTTACGCTTTGTTTGGATAACAAAGAAGGAAAGAAAGGAAGGGGAGGGAAAAAGGAGGAAAGGAAGGGAAAAGAAAGGGAGGGGGAGGTGAGCTCCATTTTCCCTCCAAATCTCTCCAGTTTTGGAGGGATTATGCTTATTAAAGAGAGAGGGAAAATGGATCCTTCCCTCTCCTTCCCCTTCCTTCCCCCAATCCTTTACCCAAACAAGAGAACATGTCTCCTTCCCTTTCTCTTCTTTTCTTTTCCTTCCATTTCTTTCTATCCAAACTTAATGACAATGATATGACTTTTGACAATCTTATACTTAATACAAGGATTAACCGTCCTGAAATTTCACAAAAGAGCGCAGAGAAGGACATACAGGAAGGGGAGAAAGTGAAAGAAATCAAAACCAAAAAGATAGTATGTTACACTCGTATAAAGGTGTTACTGATATGAAACATTGGGGAACCTGAAAGAGGTTGGGGAGGGGGGAAGGAGATCACTTCCTAAACACTCTTTCCAGTAGAGTACCTCTCCCTACATCCTATGTAAAAGTTAAGGCTGAGAACCAACTTTCTCCAGCAAATACCATAAAAACTGGAAGCAGCGGAGAGAGGATTTCAGTTGCATAACACAGCACGTTCAAAATCAGACTTCATCTTGGTCCTTGAAGCTCTGCATCTCTTACTCCTCATGAAAGAAAGGGTCACCCACAGTTCAGTGACCTTCATTCTCTTTCTTTTTGGTGTTGCGCTTTCCAGTTCTTTTCTCTCCACGCTTCCGTGTGGAACTGCGTTCTGATTTTGCAGGGGCAGTCGGGGCAGCAGGCATATGTTGACCATTAACCAAACCAGGGAAACCAACAGCAGGGATTCTGTCAAACCAGCATACAAAAGGTGAGGGGAGATAGAAAACCAGGAATGCCAAAACAAGGACAGAAAGTAATCAAACAATTTCTAAAATGATATGACACATGCTCAAGCAAGGACAAAAGAAGTGAAGAGTATAAACGGTCAGTGCTGCAGAAACATGGAGTAAAAGGATCAGATGCAAGGGTCAACCTAATTTCACATATCTGTTACGGAGTACAAATGTATGGATTTTTTCAGCGTCTTTCCATGCAATTATGCAGCCAAAAAAGGGAAGAACGGGAAAAAAAGAATGTTAAGTTGAGCATTGTAGGTTAACTCAATGGGGAAGAAGAATGTCAAGATGAGCACAGTAGGTTAACTGAATTTCAATTATCCCAGTTGGTACATCAAAAAAGTCAGGGATAAACCTTCACAGTAAAGTACTCAATTAGAGATAACACTTTCGAATCACGACAAGCATACCAATGACAATGCTTGAATGATGATCATATTATAAAAAATACAAGGGGAGCGAACTGCAGGAACGGGATTTGAACAGACATATATAAACACAGGACCAGGCAAGATGAGAAATTCATACCCAACAAGAGCACAGCAGACTCCGGAATGGCCATGGACGCACCATACGCACTGCCCAAGGAAATACGCAACATCTGATTCTCGGCATAACAACACTGAAGCAACCTCCCCAATCTCCTACACTCCGCTTCCATATAGCGACTCTTTATCTCCAAATCCTTGACATACATCTTTTTTCCTTTCTCTTGATCTCATCGCGGCATCTCTATTTCTCAATTGCCTGAACAACAATCATCTCTCATTATTACACAATCTTAACAAACAATTCAAGGAACCACATACAAAAACACATGCCACAGCCAATTCAATAAATATCCAATTCTTGTGTCATGCTTATGCAACTTATACAAATCAACTAGGTCCGGAATTAATTGTCACATTAGTATTTCAAATTACACTATCAATTTCACTATGAATACATAAACAAATTAAAAAAACGGGATAAGTCTACACTTTTACATAACTCAGACTGAGCAACCGCAAACTAACATACATGACCAAATTTCCAAAGAAAAAGCCAGCATTTAAATAAGTCCAGATTCAATGTACATTACTAATTATTATTAAAC